AAACGCGCTCGGAAGACCCCAGCGGTCAGCGCCCACCTCGTCCGCGCCGGTCGCGCCACACTACCTGGCCGCTCTGCGCGCGAGCCTGCGCGCGGAAGCGCGGCCGCAGCGATGCGCCAGCCAACGCCGAGCAGCCATCGCAATCGCCGCCGCATGGGTTTTGCAAACCATGTTGCGGGTGGGTAGGCGGGATGTTTGCGCCATCGTTGGGGGTGGTCAAGCGCGAAGAAGACAACGTCAATCAAGTGTCACGCGCGACGTGGCTCTTGCACATCGGAGGAGAGAAGGATGAGGAGGCGCAGGTGGGGGGATCGAGGGAACAAAGGGGAAGGAGGAAGAGGAGGAGGAGGAGGAGGAGGAGGAGGAGGAGGAGGAGGAGGAGGAAGAGAAGGAGGAGGAGGAGGAGGAGGAGGAGGAGGGGCATGTGGGGCCAGGGCGCCCCGTTGCTGAATCAGCGGCTGTCGATTGGGACCTGCTCGAATGAGTTTTTTTTTTTTGCAGTTGCGGCGCGATAGATTTGTTGAGGTTGGGCCAGGTGGGGGGAGGCTGGGTCCATGGACAAGGCCAGCGGGGCGAGGGGGGTTGGGGCAAGGACCAGGCGGGAAGGCTGGGTCCAGTGCCAGGACCAGGGGGGCGAAGGCGGCTGGGGCCAGGTTAGGGAGGGTCGTCGCGAGCGCCTGCCAGAGTCCTTCAAACATTGTGCGGTTCCGTGAGGATTTCAAAATCGAGCGCCCCGAAAACATTAAAACACATGGTTTCGCAATATCAGCTTAAAAAACATCGCACGCGCGCGCGCCCTTGCGAATTCTGCAGGGAACCGTCGGTTTGTTTCAACATGTTCGTTGTATGCAACCAAACGGGCTTCCCGCGCGCGCATGTCGGAATCATTCGAACGCCTTTGTGCGCGTGCTGGGGGGGCATTGTCCCTGTGAAATAACACCATGCAGACTACCCGCGCCCGCCGGCCGCATGCGCATGTCGAAACCTTTCCAAGTCATCCGTCGCCGATTCGTGGACACCACCATCGTCATCGGCGTGATCAGCATCGGCGCCGTCGTTTGCCTTGCTGTCGACATCGTCATCGTCGTCCGTAGAATCGCTACAATCATCATCGTGCCTACCGTTGCCGACGTCGCCATGATACCGCGCCCGCCCGATTCACCGACTCGCAGTGATGTGCCCGCGCGTCAGCGCGGCCTGTGAGACGCGCCGGGAAATCCCCAGCGGTCAGCGCCACCGCGTCCCCGTCGGTCGCGCCAGACTACCTGGCCGCTCTGCGCGCGAGCCTGCGCGCGGTAGCGCAGTCGCAGCGATGCGCCAGCCATCGTCAGGCAGGCACCACAATTGCCGCCTCCCGAGTCCGGACTTATCACTACCCCTTGGGGATGTGCAATTTACATACGATTCCGCCCCATCGTGCGTCTTAAAGTTGAATCCATACCATCTCAGGCAGGTCGGAGTTGCCCCCCCCCGCCGCCTCACCCTTCGCTCGCACAATTATTATGCGCGCGCACTCTTTTCACAACAGCCAGCAGGTTCCAATCATCCCGTGTAACAAATGGGACGAAGTGCGCACGCGCGCGTCGTCGGAAGCATGCCGCAATCTTTCAAACACCTCCGGTTTCGTAAGGAATTCAAAGTCGAGTGTCCCGAAAACGTATGAAAACACATGGTTTCACAACGAGTGTTTTCAAACAGTGCGCCTGCGCTTTTGTGAATTCGCACGAAGACCGAAGCTTCCCCCAGCATTTTCAGGGCATGCTACCAAAGGGGCCTCTCGCGTGCGCATATCGGAATCGCTCGAACGTCCTTGTGCGCATGGTGTTGCAAGAAGCCCTTGCAACAAGTAGGACGAAGTGCACGCGCGCGTCGTCGCGCGCGCGTGCCCGAACCCTTGAAACATGTCAGGTTTCGTACGGAATTCGAAAACGGTCGCCCCGAAAACAAGTTCAAACATGGTTTTGCGGTATCAGTTTTCAAAAAGTGCTTGCGCGCGCGCTCTGGCGAATTCTCTAGCAAATCATTGGTTCTTCAACCTTGCCATTCAATTCTACCAAACGGGCATCTTGCGCCGCGTGTCGAACTCATCCGAACGCCCTTGCGCGCGTGCTGGGGGGGGGCACGGTCCGTGTCAAATGATACCACGCGGGCCACTCGCGCGCGTCGGCCGCGCGCGCATGTCCAACTCCTTCGGGGATTCTCATCACCGACGCGAGGAAATCGTCATCGTTATCGGCGGGCGTGATCAATCAACATCGGCGCCGCCATTGGCCTTGCCGTCTTCATCGCCACCATCGTCACCATCATCGCTACTCGCATCGTCGGGTCTATCGTTGTCGACGTCGCCACGGTCCCGCGCCCGCCCAATTCACGACTTCGTATTGGAGTGCCCGCTGGAAAGTCCCAGCGTTCAGCGTCTCCGCGGCCGCGTCGGTCGCGCCGCGCTAGCTGGCCGCTGCGTGCGCGAGCACGCGCGGGCTAGCGCGGCCGCAGAAATGCACCAGCCAACGCCAAGCACTCATCGCAGTCGTCGTCGCATGGGTTTTGCAAACCCAGTTGCGGGTGGGTGGGTGGGATGATTGCTCGAGCAGTGGAATTGTCAAGTCATTGCGAGCACTGGTGAATTGCAGCACGTTGGTTGCACCGCGTAGATTTTACAACATAGGTTCTCCTTTTATGAAAAAGAACCAGGGCCCCCCTGCTTTATCGGTACACGTTTTTATGTTGCAATTTACATTTGATTCTGCCCCACCGTCCATCTTACATATGAACTCGTACGATCCCAGCCGGGCCGGCCGGGTTCGACCCCCCCCCGCCATCTGTTGCAACAAATGTTGTGCGCGCGCTCGTTTATCACAAACCATCGGTTTTCATGAATCCCGATCACAAATTGAGACGAAGTGCGCACGCGCGCGTCGTCGCGCGCGCATGCCGAAATCCTTCAATATCCTTCGGTTTCGAAGGGGAGTCAGAATCGAGTGTCCAAACACATGGAAGAACACATGGTATCGCAACACGGGTGTTCAAAACAACAAGAAACGTGCGCGCGCGATCTTCCGAATCGTATATATATATATCCACTCATACATATACAAATACATATGCACATACATATACATATACATATGCATATACATATACATATACATATACACATACATATACACATACATATACATATACATATACATATACATATACATATACATAGACACATACATGTACACATACATATACATATACATAAACATATACATATACATATACATATGCATATGCATATACATGTATATACACATAAATCATGGTTTGTTGTTCGACATGCTCAGCAAATGCTTCCAATAGGGCCTCGCGCGCACATGTCGAAATCGTTCGAGCGCCCTTGCGAGCGTGCCGTCGCGAGAATCCGTTTGCAAAAAAGCGTGACGAAATGCACACGCGCGCGTCGACGCGCGCGCGTGCCGAAGTATTGCAAGAACTTTCGGTTTCCTGGCCATATCAAAACCGAGTGTCCAACAACCATATGAAAACACATGGTTTCGCAGCATTGTTTTTACACAACAAAAAAAACAACGCATACTATATATACACACACAAAAAGTGAGTTCGCGCTCTTGCGAGCCCCTCGGACAACCATCGGGTTGTCAATGTTTTTATGCAATTCTGCCAAACGGGCCTGTGGCGCCGCATGCCGACATCATGCGCACACCCTTGCGCGCGTGTTGGGGGGGGCACGGTCCGTGTCAAATGGTACCATGCGGGCCAGTTTCGAGCGTCGGCCGCGCGCGCATGTCGAACTCTTTCCAAAACGTTCATCACCGACGCGAGGACGCCGTCATCGTCGTCGGCGTGATCAACATCGGCGCCCGCACTTGTCGCGCCTTCGTCGGTGCGAACGTCGTCACCAGCATCGCCACTATCATCATCGTGTCTACCGTCGTCGGCGTTGCCATGATACCGCGCCCGCCCAAATCGCCGATTCGCAGTGAAGTGCCCGTTGGGATGCGCCCAGCGGTCAGCGTCACCGCGGCCGCGTCGGTGGCGCCAAACTAGCTGCCGCTGCGCGCGCGTGCTGGGGTTGGCGCGGCCGCAGAGATGCACCAGCCAATGCCAAGCATGCATCGCAATCGCCACCGCGTCGGTTTTGCAAACCAAGTTGCGGGTGGGTGCGTGGGATGTTCGCAAAGGGCATGTTATGTGCCAGCTCGTTTGTTAAAATCAACTGCGCTACATCGTATGCGTCCCAACAATTTGTACAACATAGATTGCACCACGCCGATTGTGCCACGTCGAATGCACCACATAGATTGCGCACCAAATATCTTGTAACGCGTCGGTTGCACCACATACGTTGCATTGCACAATGGAGGTTGCGCCACGCACCACGTAGGTTGCACCACACAGGCGGCTGCACCAAATATAACACACGAACGCACATATATACATACATAGATATATATGGTGTGGAAAATCATAATTTGCACGGCATGCCTTGTACCACGTTGATTGCACCACACAGATAGCTCCACAGAAACTGCACAACATATAACGGCAGAAACACATGTTTTGGGTCCACGTTGGTTAGCAGGTATAGTTGTAGAACATTTATGGCGCGTAGCAGTCGGCACCGGGCCAAAATCCATCCCTCAGGTCACAGGAACAATGATCGTACGTAGAGGTGGAGGGGCCTAGGTCCCCCCCCTCCACATGTTGGTGCTCGCGCGCACATTGTAGCGATCGCAGCGCAAACCCCTCCCCGACGTGCCCCACCCCGCCGAAGCGTTACACCCAGCCCAGCCCCCCCCCCCGTGCGGGTAACAAACGTCACCTGAAATATCACGAAGCAGTATCTCACCTACTTCCTTTGCTGACCCGCTTCGGCCCAAGTGTTGACGCACGAGTGGATCTCTTGAGAGAGGAAAGAAAACCTCGATCGTCTTCATCATACGGATATGGGGCATGGTCGGCTCTCAGATCCTTCCCTCCTTCACCTCACACAGGCCAACGGCGTGCGCGCGCTGGCGGTGCAGCTGCTGTTCTGGCAGGAGTCGAGGAAGGTACAAACCGCCTGAAGCATAATTTTCCGAACTCCGACTGTTTGTGCTTATTGGATAAACGATAAACGTTGAGATGGATGGATGGATGGAAGGGGTGTAACGGATGGACGGATGGATCGAAGGATGGATGGATGGATTGATGGGTGGATGAATGTTTCCGACACTTCCTCTGAGGAGGTGGTCAGCGTGGAAAGCGCCGCCCACCTGCGGTCGCAGCTGTGCACGCTCTTCGGGCGCCTGGCCTCTGGCCGGGAGCTGCTGCAGCGGCCGCTGCACGAGGTGCCTTCGGCCGACGGGGCGCGCACGGAGGCCCTGCTGGCTTGCAGCGACAGGACGCTTGGAGAGCCAGAGGTTGGCACCTACACCAATATCCGCAGTGTGCCCCCACCGAGGGAAGATGACCCCGGTCTCGGTGATGGTGGCTGCCCAGGTGGCCGAAACATTATCACCGACACCGCAACCCCTTGTCTTGGTGTTGGTGCCAATTTCCAAGCCCCCAAAGGACCGACCCCGCCGCGTACCCGCCGGGCCAGGAGAGCATTCTTTCATCCCCTCTCTTGCGGCGCCTGCTTGGGCGGCGCCGCGCGCGCACGAGAGGCCAGCTCGGCATGGCCCTCGAGGTTTGGGGTTCGAGGTTTTCGGGCGTTTTCGTGGGGCTCTCGACGGCTGTCAAGCCTCGGGATGCGTGGCCGCCAGAGAGCCGAGCTATGAGCCGAAAGCCAAGAGGCAACGTCAGCGGGAGATGGGCCCAGGGGTCTCTGACGCCGGATCCGCTATGCTTTCGGCGATTTTATAATTAGGGCGGAATCTCATCCGCCCTACTTTTCAGGCTCCTTGAATGCCGATTTCCGCCTTTCTTTGCCGTCGATGTGACCGCCATACTTGTGCTGAGCGATCAGCCCTACGCAGAATTTTCCGCCCCACTTGTTCTCATCGTTTTGGGGGCATTTCCTGAAACCTTGGTCGGACAATTAATTAAAGTACGGCGGACCCAGAGTCAGTGGAGGGGGGAGGGGGAGAGTCGGACGGGCCTAGAATCAAGACAACTCCGTTCCCGAGCGTTTCAGAACGCTCCCAGAGCGTTCTGGAACGCTCGTAAACGGCCGCGGCGCACGATGCATCCTCCAAACCCGCCGATCCTCAGCGATTTCCAACTTACGTCGGTCTGATTTTGTCTTGATTCTGGCTTCGCCTCACGGTAACGCCACGATCTGCGCTGGCGCCCTCTGGGAGTGATGACTGGCCAAGTCCCAGACGGCGCCAGCGCGAATCGTGACGCTGCCAAGGACCCCGGTGTGGGGGGGGGGCACCCCCGAGGCCGGGGCCGGCAGCGGACGCTATCGCGAATAGTGGCAATGATAAAGTGGTGAGCTCCAGATGCACACCAAGTTCCTCGAGTGCGCGAGGTCCGAGGCACAGCGAAATGGCACAATCTCGGTCACGCGCGGGGGGGGGCAGGGGGAGGGGGGAAGGCTTCTTAGAAGCATCCTGCTTCTCAGAAGAGGCGGGCCTTATGTATAGGTGTAGGGCCAGCGCCTTCCAAGAAGCAGCCTCCTTCTGAAAAGCTTTCCCCCTACCCCTACCCCTTCGTGCGCGCCGCCAACAATTCGAGCCTAAACTTATGGAGATCCGCGCGAACTTCCTGCGCTGGCGCTAACCCCCCCCCCCCCTGGCGGCGCCTCCGGCGCCGCCCGTGGCGCTCTCCGCGCGCCAGGGATGGGGGTCCAGGTGCCGACCCAAGAAGTTCGCGGGGGCCTCCGAAAGTTGATGCTGTTCCTTCGGGAGCGTCCAAAAAGGGGCGTTCAAGAGGGGGGTTCACAAATCGTGGCACGAGGCATGTGCGCGGACTGGGGGGGGGGCCAAGGAACGTATTGAAATAAGATGAGGGGCCATATGAAACCTGGGATCTTGGCCCCAGCCATGATATCCACCACCTCCCAGGCTCACTGAGCGCGTTTCACTATCCGCAAAGTGCCTACTCGCAAACGTCCGCGGAACACATGCTTGCCTCGGCGTAATGGATCGTGAGTCCTCCGCGGCCGATCCAGGCCATTCGCGAGCACTTACTCTGCGAGCAGTGGAATGCGCTTGCCTGCAGACGTCACCCCAACATACTGATGCTACACGTGCGTCGCTCCCCGTTGGGGCGACGCGCGCACCGAGAAATCTTTCAGCGTAAGCTCCGTGGCGGGCGCTTTCTGGCCGTACCTCTCGGGAAACGATGTGCTACAAAATGGTTCTGCGATATGATTGGGTCGGACGCACGCCTCCAAGGAGGACACATACGGTTGAAGGAAACAACTTTGCACCAGCAACGCTCCGACGACTAAGAGCCGAATTCCCCCCCCCCTCCACCCCCCGGCCTTAATACTGGGAATGCGTTGCGATCGATATCTTTGGTTCAATTTTTTTTTACAGCCGCTCACCTCCCGGACCGAGGCCAAGGGGGTGCGGAGCTCTGGATCGAAGAAGGAAAAACGCAATAAGGAAAAACGCAATAAAGATAAACATAAACTTGTGGCGCTCGGCGCAGATTTCTTGGATCAGCGCTGGGCCCCCCGCGGGGGCGCCTCTCCGCGCGCCATGGAGGGGGTCCAGAGCGGATCCAAGAAATCCGCGCGGAGCGCCAAAAGTTTATGCTTATGCAATTGTTCTGCTTCCACTGGAAGCGGATGCTTGCGTCCTACTCTGAAATCCGACGCTTCGACAAGATGCATGGCCGTGAGAAATCACGACCGGAGACGTAGACCCCATCTTCCTGAGGCGATTCTTGAGCCGGATCGATCTGTGGAAGATCCGAGGCGTTGCGGCAGTGTTGTTCTTTTTCTGCGCCTTTGCTTGTCCTCTTTACCAATACGCCGTTTCGGCGCGGTTCCTTCGCTCGTTTGCTCGATCGATCCGTGATGATCGCGGGGCCCCAAAACTGTTCGAAAACGCCCTACTGCGGAATTTGCCTCGCCCAGATCTCAGGGTACGGTGGGCGCGTTTGGTAAGGAATGTGCCCAGGAGGCTTCAGAACCTGGAGGATTCTGACAAGGGCGGTGGTGATATCTTTGGCCAACACACGATTGGCGTCCCACCGGCTTCCGGACCCTGGACTACTTATCCAGTGGTTCCTTGTCCGATGCCCTCACTGTGTGCCGCGTTTGCTTTCCTCTTGCGAGGTGGTTCGCCGGATCGCGCGCGCTCGTCGACTGCAGAGAGGACGGCTCCGAGGACGGCTACACCTACCAGGAGCTCCACGGCCTGGTGCGGCGCGTCGCCTCGGAGCTGCAGCGCCTAGGGGGCGCCGGGCTGGACGGGCTCGTGCCGCTGCTCTTTGAGCGCGGCGTCCGGACGTACGGGATCAAGCAGCGACATGACCATACAGTGGAAACCCATGCCAAGAAACACCCTGCTTGCCTCGAGGGTGCCCCGGGTTTTTTGGGGGGTTCGATGGGTTTGCGATGGAAAGCGTGACGTGCCCACACCAAAGACCAATGGACGTCCTGGGGTCTCAGGGTTGTGGTTTCTTGTGGAAGGTTTCTTGTGGACTAGCCTCCACTGCAGCATTTCGGAGGTCCGCGTGGACTTCTTGGATCGGCGCTGGACCCCCCTCACTGGCGCGCAAAGCGCGCCGGCCCGAGTCGCCGCCAGGGTGTCCCAGCGCAGATCCGAGAAGTCCGCGCGGACCCCCGAAAGTATATGCTTATGTCATAATTGGTTCCCCGAGGATGGTCGTCGCCATCTACGCCACGCTCGTGGCGGGCGGCGCGTACGTGCCGCTGGAGGACTGGCTGCGCGCAGGGGCCTCGAGATTCAGGCGGTGCATTTTGCTTTACGCTGGGCGTCTTCGTCTGGCCCCGGGCCTCCGGGGCCATCACAGGGCGATCGAGCTCGAGAAATGCCGCAGAAAGACGGGGGTCGAGGGCTCCGGTCGTGAGCTTTCGCGAGGGGCCCTGGGCCGCGGCCCCGCGGACATGGGGCGCCTTTTCTTGAGTGCCCCGCGCGGAGCGTATCCGTGCGACTGCGCAATCGCGGGAGCTCGCCCCGAAGTCCAGGCCGCGAGGGCGCGGATGCGGACGTGCTCGCCGCTCGTGAGACCATCACACATCGATCTGGCTCGGAAAACGGCGCAGGGTGGTGCGGGGTCCAGGGCTGCGGTCGCGATTTTTCGCGATGTCCAGTTTTTTCCTGCAAGGTCGGGTCTCAGGGAACGTGGAAGAATACCGCTGCTGCTGCTCGTCCTGGAGATTCCATGTCGCCACGACTGGGTTCTGCTCGAGATTATTGCCAGAGCGCAGCCGGGGTCGAAAAAATCTGGTCGTGTTTTTTCGCGATGTCTAGTTCTTTCAACGGCCAGCCCGGCTTCTTCTTCTTTTTCTCCTCCTCCCCCTTTTCCTCCTCCTCCTCCTCCTCCTCCTCCTCCTCCTTTTCTTCCTCCTAGGGGGCGGGCCTCCTCAGAAGGCCAGGAACTCCCCCGGCCTTGTGAGAAGTTTCCTCCGCCTTCCCCGAAAACACCAGTGATTCTTCGGAAGACCCGAGGGCTACTGAGAAGCCCCGCCGCCTTCTGCGAAGGCTTCCTCGGGCGGGGCCAGGACGAGGATATATCCATTCCAGAGCGTTCCGGAACGCTCTGCTCTGGCGCTCCTCCTCCTCCTTCTCCTCCTTCTCCTTCTCCTCCTTCTCCTCATCCGCCTCCTCATCCTCCTCCTCCTCCTCCTCCAAGCCCCCCTTGCCCGAGGCTGGCGATTCAGGGGCGGCAGCGCAGAAGGATGCGCATTCATACCTCGCGCCCGCATGGCGTGTCCTCCCCACGGTGAGGCGGCGGCCCGCGGCCCTGGCGATGCGGCTGCTGCGCTGGCGATGAGCTCTCTGGGCGCCCTGGGCGGCGCTCGAGCTTGATGCGATGAAGTATATTCACTGGAATGCTCAGAATGCCAGCACCGAGGAGCGACTTTGTGATATTTCTGCTGAGTTTCGCTACGTTGACGTGGTATGTTTGACAGGGACGGGCGAGCGGCGCGGCGAGGTGGACACCATCCGCTCGACTTCGCCGTACCACACCGCCCTGAGATCGGGCTGGAGTCCCAGCCCCTATACCAACAAGAGCTGCGGGTGTACCATCCTGCTGAGGCGTCGGACTTTTCGGACGCAGCACTTGGTGGACACTCCTCCTGTGCCTCAGAAGTTGCGCGGGCGTGTATCCTTGACGAGGCTCAGGAGCGGCAGGTTCGACATCCTGGTGCCCATGGCCTACTTCCCTCCGCGGCCGACGAGTCGGAGGCAGGCGACAGAGACTACGACGGTGAATAAGCAGCACCAGGCGTACAGGGCCACGGTCGACGCGATGATGGATTGGGTAGAGAAATTATTGACATGGGCGCGTGGGCGCTCGGCCCTTTTTTTCGGATTCGACCTCAATAACGGGCTGGGGCTACGACATCAGGGCCATCAAGTGTATCAGACGGTCACCTCGGACGCGCTGGGCCCGCACGGACACTAGGTTCAGCACTACGCCTCAGAGAAGATGCTGGAGCTGATGGAGCGCTTCGTGCTCCGCATTGTCACCAGCGACTTCGAGGTGGGTCCCACTTACCACGGGGCGAAGTCGGCTTCCTTCATCGATCACGTGGCCGTCTTCGCGTCGCAGACGCCTTCGGTGACGACGGTGATGCCTTTGAAGAGCGCCAACAGACGTCTCAAGCTCATCCCGCGACCTGGGCTACAGGACCACGTCCCCATCCTGATGAAGGTCGTCTATACGCTGCAGGCCCCACAGGCGCGGCCAAGGAAGACCTGGGACTTCCACCGCCTTGGGCAGGCACTGCAGCACGGCACTGGCGTGGCGGCCTTCGCACGCGACCTGGAGGAGGCCTTCAGCGGCCACCCCGACTACTTCCACGAGCTGTACGATGCCAAGGCTCCTGACGAAGCCTGGGAGCGCTGGATAACGCAGGTGTCGACAGTTGCCGAGCGTCAGTTCGCTGGACGCGCTCCCGTACCCTCTCGAGTGCAAGCGCTTCGAGACGAGCGTCTCCGTCTGCTGGCCGAGCGACGCGACCTTCGAGAGCATGGCGGCCCCAGCACCGTGGAGATGGAGCTGGCGAGAGCCCCCCGTCGACTACGTCATCATCGCAAGGCTTGGCTCGAGACCGAGGTGCAGATGATTGTCGACGATATGTATGAGGCCTGGCAGAAGAGACACTTTGCGGAGGTGCGGCGCCTGGGACATCAGCTCGCGGCCCAGTGCAAGGGGCCAAGGCGACGGCGTTACAACGTCGGAGCCTGCTTCCTCCCTCGGCGCGCCGAGATCGCGCAGCACTTCCAGCAGGACGGTGCCAGCGGCGGTCGCGACGCGGTCCCGATCAACTTCGAAGGGCACCGCCAGGCCTACTTGGGGGCGCTGCTGAGGGCACCGATGTTCGCGCACGACCACCTCGATATCGCACGGGAGGGCTTCGAGAAGTTGATCGAGGTGATCTCGAAGTCTCCTCGTCGCCGAGCTGCTCCGCCTCACAGCGTGCCGACCGAAGTTCTACGGCTTGCCCTTGAACCGCGGCGTCGATATGATGGCAGACGACGGCGGCGGCCTCGACGTCCTGGGGACGAAGACGAGGACGAGCCGCCTCGAGTTGAGCTTCAGCCTCGGCATCGACTCGCAGGCGATCGGCGTGGGCTCGGGCACGATGCTGAGGAGATTGATACGCCCATCACCGAGCGCGCGTTCAAGGCTACCCTGGCCCACATCAGACGCGCGCAGCGCGCCCCCTTGATCTGGCACCACTCCTTCACCACAGGCCTCGACAAGCACAACGGGAAGACTGGCTTTGACGCGAAGCGCTTCATTCACGGCCTGTGCCGAGTCGGTACTTCATGGTACAAGGCGCAACCCCATCGTGCTGCGTGCGATGCTCCTCCGCCCAGAGAACACGGGTACCAGCGAGGACGCAACCGTGAGGGCGCACTCCTCTGCCAGGAGGGGCTGCTTGGTCGCCTTCGTCGTCTCGGCATCTCCACCCTCACCACCAAGGAGGACATGAGCAACGCCTTCGGGCCCTCCACCCTCGCTGCCTTGCGCCAGACGGTCACGGCAGCCGTGCGCCCAGAGGAGCAGGAGTATTTCCACCAGCGCCACGAGCTCAGCACCTTCTGCGTGGGGGGGGGGGGGGCGATGGCGACCAGGACATGCGCAACCGCTGCGGAGCCTTCATGGGCGACACCCCCGCGGCGCTCTTCTTCGCCAGGCCCTTCCGTGCACTTATTACTGACTGGCTCCAGCGACTTCGAGGCGCGGCCTGGGCTACGCATGAGATGCCTGGCCAGCCGACCTCCTACCACGAGTGGAAGCGTCAACCACTTCTACCTCCGACGCCCCGAGCCGACATCGACACCACGATTTGGCCGAGCGAGATGATCTGTACAGCGTGGTGCCCGCTCCTGGAGGTCGCCGCCCCGCTTGGGACGCGGATCTACGCGGACGACGCCAACCACACGAGTGTTGTCACCTCTGCCAGGAACGCGGGCTTTGTCCAGGCACTCGCACCACGAGCTTCGACGTGCGTTGGGGCCCTACGGCTACGCGCACAACCCGTCCAAGAGCTCGGTCTCGCCCTGCTTCGTGGGCTGTGGCGCCCAGCATGAGACGAGGAAGCTCTTCAGCGGTGTCGAGCACATCGCGGGGGTCGTGCAGTGCGACGACATCGCGCTGGGCATCCAGACCTCTGTCACGGGGAGCGCGCAGGCTGAGCTTCGGCGACGCCTGCAAGCTGCCCGCAGGGGGTGCTACAGCATGGGCCGCTTCTGGGCGCGCAACCGCATCTGGCGCCTGACCAGGATCGTGTTCGGGTCGGTCGTGCAGGAGGCCGCGTTGAGTGGGCTCGACGTTCTGGTCCTGAGCGTGTCGCAGCAGCTGCAGATCGACAAGGTGCTCTCCAGTCTCGGACGTCGCCTCTTGAAGGGGGCCGCCTGCCAGAAGATCCCGCTCCTCGACGACGCGGGCGTTCAGAAGGTTGACGACAATGGCAAGCTACTCGTCCGCTACAAGGCGATGTCCGACGTTGCGGTGCTGAAGCGGCTCGGGATGGCCTCCACGGCTACGGAACTACGAGTTCGCCGGCTTCGTCAATATCAGCGCTGGCTTCGCGCTCCCGATCGACGCCCGCAGGAGCTCGCGGTGATGTTCGGCGAGCTTCCGCTGGAGCCGACGCCGACGCTCGACGATGAGGGCTCGGTGGCCGCGGACGCCAACCCGTACGCGCTGCGGTTCGTCGAGGACGTGGAGACGCTGCTGACGGTCGCGGGCGACGACGAGCTGCGCGAGGACCTGCAGACGGCGAAGGGCTTGCTCAATGTCGTCGCGCTGTTCTTCAACGACGACCTGCGGGAGCGCTACCTCGTGCACGACCCTGGGCTGCTGAGGGCGCAGGCGCGCAGGGTGGCGATTCCGCCGCCTGGCTGGCAGCCACCGTTGGCGACGGGGGAGGCCCCCCCGCCACCGCCAGCCATCTGGCGCTGCGAGCTGCTCGGCGCCGAGGGCGCCCTGCGCGGGCGCGAGTTCGCCACGAGACGGGCGCTGCTTGCCCATCAGAAGTTCCAGAAAAACTCTGGCCACGGATGTCGGTCCATCATTCATTCCCTTATCAGTACCAGCCAATGCGTATACTGTTCTAGTACCTTCAGGACAAGACGGATTGCGCAAGAGCGCGCCGTGACCGCGTGCCTGACTCGTCGATGCCCCGTCCAGCGGCCCCCCTTCTACCACGAGGTTGTGGAGCCCCCATCTTTGATGTGTCCCTTGGCTTCGATAACACGGTCTGCGTTGTATCCTCGCTCGCAGTCTCTGGAGCTAGCATGCCCGATTGGGGGGCCCTTCGAGACCCTAGCAGATCTGCAGGCACATCTGCTCGAGCAGCATGCGAACACCCCGAGCGCTCCTCGGGCCGTGCGGCGGGCTTCTGTGGGCGGTGGCGACGCTCATGTCCTTCCGCCTCAGCCCGCAGGCGCTGGAGGGCCGATCCCGATCCCACAGCCGCCGAGCCGCGCCTGGGCGAGATGGCCGAGGTGGCTCCGCGAGTGCCAGCCGTGGGGCCCACGTGCACCGTCGCGGAGGCGGAGGGCGCAGCAGCGTGCGCGGCGCCGCGGCCGCGCGGCCAGCCGCCGACGCAGCGCTCGCGCCCGTGGCAGCCGCAGTGCAGGGTGCTCGCGCCCGCGGCGATCGCCGCACCGCGCAGGCCGAGATCGGCCAGACCTACGGGCTCCCGAAGGACACGCTGGACAAGCTGCCGACCATGGAGCTGCAGCTGGCGCTCAAGATCATCCCAGTGATTGCGAAGGCGGTCTTGGGCAACAGCTTCAACATCCGCCAGCTCATGTCGACGAGCTACCGCACGCTGCTCATGGACGACGGCGCCGAGCTGGTGAAGGCGTCCTTCACGGCGGGCAAGGCCTACGCGCTGGAGGCGCAGAAGCTGCGCGACTTGCATCACGCCGACCCCACGCAGCACAAGCCGCCCGAGGCGATCATGGGCCCCGCCTGCGCCCAGGTGTTCCTCGAGGCCGCTCGCGCGCTGAAGAGCGCGGGCGAGAAGGTGGGCATGCGCAACAAGGAGGCCTGGAGACGATCTATGCGCGGATCGACCCGATGCCCATCCCCGAGCTGACGTTCCTGGTGCGCGGCTTCCGCGTTTCGCAGTGCTACAAGGAGGGCACGGCCAAGATTGCGATGTGCATCAGCGACCCCAACGTGGACCAGTGCTTCCTGAGGTGTGCCGAACAGCTGGGGGCGGAGTACAAGCCTGGTGTCGGCCCCCGCGGGCACCAGGAGCGCGTGCTGCAGACGGCGCTGGACCAGTTCTCAGACATCTGACACGGCTTCCTGGAGATGCGGCTGCGGACGTGGCAGGTCCTAGAGGATGGGAAGTTGGTGCTGGTGCTCCGCACCCGCTGAGCTCGCGGGAGGCCGCGGCGGCCACGGTGCGTGGCAGTGTGACCGCGGGGAGCGCGGCCGAGCTCAGGGCGGAGACCGCCAGACCTCGGTGCGGTCCGTCGAGGACCGCAGTGCAGGATCCCCCCCCTCCTCCCGTCCAGACCCCTCCTGCCCGTTCGTCTACTGCCCCTCCCCGTCCTCAGCCAGCTAGTAGTAGTGTACACTTTCAGGTGATGTCGAAAGGTAGCAATAGAACAGCTGATGTAGAGCAATTCGCAAAACTCAGTCTAACTGAACGTTTAAACATCCTCGAGTCTCACCGTATATGGTAGAGCGAAGGCAATTCGGGGCTCCCAGGGAGGGCACGCCGTGTTTTCCTAAGCCTGAGCGCGCACTGCAGGTCGTACGTATCGATTCGTTCTGATGTGTAGTTGTGGTTGAGTGATCTTCGACCCGAGGCCCGATGCAGCGACCTCCTCCCCCTCCTCCTCCTCTTCCTCCTCCTCCTCCTCCTCCTCCTCCTCCTCCTCCCCCCCTCCCCCCCTCATCATCATCCTCCTCCTTCCCCCTCCCCCCCCTCCCCCCTTCCACTCCTCCCCCACCCCCCTTCCTCTTCCGCCCCCACCCGCGAGGCGGCGACGACGACGACGACGACGACGACGACGACGACGACGACGACGACGACGACGACGACGACGACGACGACGACACCCGCACCGCCCGCCCGCCCGGCTGCTCACCCGCACCCCCGCGCGCTCGATCGGTCGCTCGCCTACGCACCCATTAGCGCACCCAACAGAATACGGTCGTGCGTCTGATGCAGAAGCCTCTTCCCGAAAAGCTGTGCCAGCGTCTCCTGGCCAACTTGCCAGAAAGCAGTTTCTTGAGCACGTTCGCCCCTCCTGCGCCAACAGCAGATATTTGCCACGGTTTGTTTCAAGAAGCTTCTGGGAAGCTGGCCCAGATTTCTTGCATTATATTTCTCTCGATCATATGTTCGGTTGTATGTCCATATCCACCGCTCATGAGTCGTGCCCTGGGATCTCCAGGAGCGGTGGCTGTGGATGTCTGCCCATCCGGGCGGGCCGGCAGAGATCTTCGGCCACCGCTCCCCGAACTCCTGGGACCCGCCCCCGCGGCAGTGGGCGTGGATGGACATGTTCTGGCGGCGCATGCGCGCAGCCGGGAGAGGAGCAGTACCCGGCCGCGCGCATCCAGGGGATCCTGGAGCAGATCCAGGCGTCCGGCCACTGCGCCGCGCCGGTGATCCTCACCACCCCCCGGCTCGCCGGGGCAGTGGCTCCACAGGCGCTGGGGTCGCCCCAGGGCGCTTGGACGGTCCTGGGCCTCGGCGACATCCACCGACAAGGCACCTCCGACGATGCGAGCTTTTCACTCTTGGCGTTCCTCCTAGATTCTGGCCTCCCCCGAGATCCTGGCGCTGCATTGTTTTCAAGCCGGGCGTTTTCGCCCGACTTCGGGCCCCGGGACCACCGCAGATCGATCCCTGTCGAAAAATGCAGCAGAAAGACGGGGTCCAGGGCTGCGGTCGTGATTTTTCGCGATGTTGTCATTTGTTTCGCAACGTCGGATCTCGGGCCCGTTGTCGGGCCTTTGTGGGGCCATCAAGCATGGATCCGGGAAGACAGACTATCCCTGGGCCCTGGGGGAGGTGTCGGGAATTTTCTTGGGCCTCGGGCTGAAACAGCAACCTATAGCCAGAGTCTATCATCCCCATGCACATTTTTGAGTCAAGGTGGCTCCTCAGAGTGTTCGCGCGTCCTCCTGCTCCTGATTCGTCTGCGCCTTCGGCGTCGTCGTCGTCCTCCTCCTCCTCCTCGTCTCCCTCTGCATCCACGTCATTCTCCTTCTCGCCCTCGCCCTCCCCCCTTCCACTACACTTCCTCCTCCTCTTCCTCCTCCTCCTCCTTCTCCTCCTCGTCATCATCATAAGCATCGTCATCATCGCCATCATCGCCATCATCGCCATCATCATCATCATCATCATCATCATCATCATCATCATCATCATCATCATCATCATCATCATCATCAGCATCAGCATCAGCATCAGCATCAGCATCAGCATCAGCAGCAGCATCGTCATCATCAGCAGCATCATCATCGTCATCATCGTCATCATCATCATCATCATCCTCATCCTCATCCTCGTCGTCTTTATCATCCTCATCGTCCTCATCCTCATCCTCATCATCCGCCTCATCCTCCTCATCATCATCATTATCATCTTCTTCATCATCATCCTCATCCTCCTCCTAATCCTCCTCATCCTCCTCCTCCTCATCATCATCATCATCTTCATCATCGTCATCATAATCATCATCATCGTCATCATCATCATCTTTATCGTCGTCGTCATAATCGTCATCGTCATCAGCGTCATCATTATCATCATCACAATCATCCTCCTCCTCATCCGTCTCATCCTTCTCAGTATCATCATTATCACAATCAGCATCTTTATCATCAGCACCATCATCATCAGCATCGTCATCGTCATCGTCATCATCATCGTCGTCACCATCATCATCATCATCGGCATTATCAGCAGCATCATCACTATTATGAACATCGTCATCATCATCATCGTCATCAGTGTCACCACCATCCTCCTCCCCCTCATCATCATCATCATCATCATCATCATCATCATCATCATCATCATCATCATCATCATCAGCATCAGCATCAGCATCAGCATCAGCATCATTATCATCATCGTCATCAGCAGCAGCAGCATCAGCATCAGCATCAGCATCATCTCTTCCTCCCGCTCCTCATCATCATCAGCATCATCATCCTCATCCTCCTCATCCTCCGCATCCGTATCCTCCTGGTCCTCCTCCTCCTTCTATAACTCCTCATCTCACTCCTCCTTCGTCCGCCTTCTCATGTGAATCATCCACATCCTCCTGGTGCTATTCCTGCTCGACGTGTTCCTCCTCATGCTTACCCTCCTCCCCATCCTCTAGTTGCCTCCTCATCGCATTTCTTATTGTTCCTCCTGCTCCTCCTCCTCCTGCTCGCCGTCCTCCTCCTTGTATTCCTCGTGCTCCTCCTCATATTCCACGTCCTCCTCCTCCTCCTCCTCCTCCTCCTCCTCCTCCCTCCCACCTCTCGGAGACAAGAGTGTAGAGGATGCCTCAGGCGAAACGCGCCAGAACACCTGGCAACTAGCATCATGAAGCCCAGAGTTGCGAGGTTGTCTCAGGCGAAACGCGCTGGACCACATCTTCGCGCGGCGTCTTGGAGCCCAGAGATGCAGGGATGTCTACGGCGAAAAGGGCTGGACCACCTCGCGCGCGGCATCTCGGAGCCTAGAGTTGCGAGGATGTCCTAAGCGAAATGCCCCAGACCACCTCTCACGCGGCATGCGAGACTTGACCAGGCGGCGCCCAGATCCCTCCCAGAGTACAATTCGATAACAGAAGCGCGCTCACATGGTTCGTTTGGGTCTGACCCCTCCTCCCTCTTCCCTCTCGGAGCCTAGAGTTGCGAGAATGTTTCAGGCGAAACGCACCAGACCACCTCGCGCGCTGCATGTCGGAGCCCAGAGTTGCGAAGATGTCTCGGGCGAAACGCGCCAGACCACCTCGCGCGCATCTTCTCATAGCCCAGATCGAGAGGAATTATCACGCGAAATGGGCTGGGACCACCTCGCGCGGCATCTCGGAGCCCAGAGTGGCGAGGATGTCTCAGGCGAAACGGGCTGGACCACCTCGCGCGCGGCGTCTTGGAGCCTAGAGCGGTAAGAATGTCTCAGGCGAAACGCGCCGGACCACCTTTCTCGAGGCATCTCGGAGCCCAGAATTGTGAGGATGTCTCAGGCGAAACGCGCTGGACAACCTCGCGCGAGGCGTCTTAGAGCCCAGAGTTGCGAAGATGTGTCAGATGAAACGCCAGACAACCTCACGTAATCTCACGTACATGTTATTAGAGCCCAGATCGAGTTGTGAAGGTGTCTACGGCGAAAAGGGCTGGACAACCTCTCGCGCGGCATCTCGGAGCCCAGAGTTGCGAGCTTTTTCAGGCGAAACGGACTGGACCACCGCGCGCGCCACATCTCAGTGATCAGAAGTGCAAGCAGGTCTCGGGCGAAACACGCCAGACCACCTCGCGCGGAGCACCTCGGATGTCAGAATTGCTAGGACGCCTCACCTCAAGTGAATCGCTCCACACCACCTCTCGCGCTGCATCTCGAAGATCAGAATGGCGATGATGTCTCAGGCGGAACGCGCCAGACCACCTCGCTCGCGGCATCTCGGCGCTCAGAGTGGTGAGGACGTCTCAGGCGGAACGCGCCAGACCACCTCGCTCGTGGCATCTCGGCGCTCAGAGTTGTGAGGACGTCTCAGGTGAAACGCGCCAGGCCACGTCTCTCGCGGCATCTCGGATCCCAGAGTTGTGAAGATGTCTCAGGCGAAACGCGCCAGATCACCTCGCGCGCGGCATGTCAGAGATTAGAATCTCAAGAACGTCTCAGGCGAAACGCGCTGGACCATCGCACGCCCCCAGGGCCCCCTGAGGGCCCTCCCAGGACCCCCCCTGAGGGCCCCCTGAGGGTCTTTCAGGGTCCTCCCCCAGGGGCCCCCCAGGCCCACCCCAGTGCACACCCCCAGGGCTCCCTCAGGCCGCCCCCCAGGGTGCCCCCAGCGTTCCCCCAGACTCCTCCAGGGCCCCCCAAGGCCCCCCAGGGTTCGCAGGGCCCCCCAGGCGAAACGCACCGGACCAGCCGAGCGCGGCATCGCAAGCAGAATTGCCAGGACACCTCAGACGCCACGCTCCACACCACCTCTCGCGCTGCATCTCGAAGACCAGAGTTGCGAGGATGTCTCAGGCGACACGCGCCAGACCACCTCTCCTCGCGCGGCGTCTTGGAGCCCAGAGTTGCAAGGATGTCTCAGGCGAAACGCGCCAGGCCATCTCGCGCGCGGCGTCTTGGAGCTAGGAGTTGCGAGGATGTCTCAAGCGACGACGGCCGTAGTTCTAGGCGTTCGTTTCGTTGTTCGTTTCGTTTTTGTTCCAACCTCCTGGTAGTCCTGGGCCATGGAGTGAAAGGCTCAAGAGTCCTGGGCCCTGGACCCCAACATCAGCGTCAGCTGGGACGGGGGTCTAGGGCCCAGGAGTCCTGGGCCCTGGACTCCAATACGAGTGAAGCAATTGGTTTTTCTCACACGGTTTTCGGGGTGACACGTGTCACCCGTGGGGTGACACGTGTCACCCGTGTGTTGTTTCAAATGTACGGTCCCATATTGGCCATTAAACTACGAGTAAAACAGTGCAACGGTTGTTTTTCACACGCGGTTTTCGAGGTGACACGTGTCACCCATTTGTTGTTTCACAATGTATGGCCCCATGTCGGCGTCCAGAATACACATTAAACAAGTAATGCTTCTCACACGGCTTTCGGGGTGACACGTGTCACCCGTGTGCTGCTTGACGCTGTATGGCCCCCGTGTTGGCGCCCAGAATGCGAGTAAACAATTTGATGTGCTCACGCGGTTTTCGGGGTGACACGTGTCACCCGCGTGTTGCTCCACATTGTATGGCCACTTGTTGACTGTATGGCCTCATGCCGTCGGCCAGGATACGAGTGAAACAATTGTTTTTTCTCACACGGTTATCGGGGTGACATGGCCCCATGTTGGCGATGAAAATGCGAGTGAAGCAATTTGTTTATTATCATGAGATTTTCGGGGTGGCACGTGTCACCCGTGTGTTGTTTCAAATTGTATGGCCCATGTTGGCGATGAAAATGCGATTGAATCATTTTTTCCTCATGAGATTTTCGGGGTGGCACGTGTCACCCGTGTGTTGTTTCACAGTGTATGGCCCATGTTGGCGACCAGAATACGAGTGAAACGATAGGTGTTTCTCGGACAGTTTTCGGGGTGACGCGTGTCACCCGTGTGTTGTTTCACATTGTCTGGCCCCACGCTGGCGCCAAACATACGAGTGACACGATTGGTTTTGCTCACACGGTCTTCGGGGTGACACGTGTCACCCGTGTGTTGTTTCACACTGTATGACCCCATGTTGGCGCCCAGAACACGAGTTTAGTGTTTCTCACACGGTCTTCGGCGTGACACGTGTCATCCTCGTGTTGTTTCATATTGTAGGGCCCCATGTTGGCGTCCAGAATTCGAATGAAACAATCGGTTTTGTTCACACCGTTTTCGGGGTGACACGTGTCGCCCGTGTGATGTTTCACATTGCATGACCCCATGTTGGCGTTTAGAAACCGAG